TATAATAAATTACACCAAAGTAATATACAATTGCTATTCACATTCTATTCTCTTCTTTCACACTTTCCATGATTTCCAAGACAAATGTGTTGCCTAAAAACTAGTTGGTGGTATTTAATATTACTACCAATATGCATACTCTCTGGTTTTATTTCAACTAAATTTATCTTCCACCATTTGCTTATAGTATGGTGGTTTTGATTTTGTTGGGCAAACTACAAGTATAACCCTTAAAGTTTATATTTATTATACTCGATCCTTGCACTTCCAGAAATGAGCAATACTAGAGAGACCTAATTCAATAAAGTCATTGGATTAGTTGTGAGTTCGAATATTATATGAAGCGAACTTTCACTCTAATAGTTATAATTAATTACGTGGAATCACTTAAATTGACAAATTAATTTTTGTTGTACTGTTTGTGTGTATGTGTGTTGGTCCTAAAAGCTTGAGACCAATAGTAACAAGTTGGGATTGGTCTCAAGAACTTGGGATCTATCTTACCCGGCTCCATTGAGTTGTAATTTAGGTTTTTTGGCTTGTAATTGACATGATTGGATTGTAACTTTCTGTAAAATAAAGATCTCTTAATTTCTTTTTACTCATTGGCTTCCACAATTTCTTCTCTTCTAACTAGCGACCACCCGTGTGATGTATGGTATTTTTAATCTCTCAAGTCACAATCCTACCATCTCTATCGCCACTATTACCCCTACCCCCTATCTCTGACCCTTATTCCACCTCCTCTCTGAACCTAACATTGTTGGAAAATTACCTATTTAAGGAGGATAGAAATTTTAATTTTGAAAGTATTTTTTGGAGAGCAGTTACATAAGAAATATGGAAGGATTTAATTAGTATGAAATCAATGCATTTTAGAAAATAATATTTTAATATGGATTTGAAGGTAAGATGGTATATGAGTATTAATTCTACGATAGAGGGGTATTTTTAAAAATATCTTAATCTTCTATTTTTTTTTCTTGAACTTATAAATCTTATAGCTGATTTAGAGTGTGTTTAACATGACTTATGATATCCAAAAAATATTTTTTTAATAAATGTTTATCAAATGTGTTTATAAGAAAAATATTTTTATTAAATAAGTATTGTTTGGTTATTCAAAATTTAAAATACTTAAATTAATGTATTTTATAAAAAAACACATTTGAATGTGAAAATACTTAATTTGTGTCACAATTGTTAATAGTATTAAATGCAAATATACAAACATATACTACACATATAATGATACACACACACACAAAAAAAAAATATACCATACACAAAAATATCATATTAATAGTTAAATAATTTTTTTAAAATGACGACCTTACCCTTATCATGCCTAACTCCCAATTTGTGTGCCCTGTATTCAAATTAAGCGCGCTGTCTCTGCTCTTCTCCGTCATCTTCCCGTCGCTCCCCTCATGACCTGTAGCAGTAGAACATCCAAATGATACAACATAACACTTTCAATGGAGAATCGAACTCGCCTTCCCTTCGTACCTCAAAGCGGTTTTCGACCGATTCTACAGGAAGTGAGGGAACTGCTCTGTGTGTTGGAGAGAGAGAGAGAGAGAGAGATAAATGGCGAGAAGACCAGACAATGAATACGATTACCTATTTAAGGTAGTGTTAATCGGCGATTCGGCAGTGGGGAATCGAACTTACTTTCTCGATTCACTAGAAATGAAATGAAATCTGCTGGGAATCCAAATCCACCATCGGGACTTGCAGAGAGGTATCGGCCATCGGGGATGTGAGCAGAAAATGAGAATTAATTTTTAAAAGTAAAAGTTAATTATTTTTATTTTTTTTATTTATCAAAAACTGTTTTTAACAAGTTAGCCAAACATTACTTTTTTGTAAAAATTCTTTTTTATAAATTAAAAGTTTCAAAAACACTTTTTTTTTTTTTTAAGTCATATCAAACACACTCTTATAATCATTTACCATTCAGACTTGCTAGCGTAAGTGAAACGAATGGGTTACCTGGTTACTATAATTTCCAAACGTCAAGGCGTGTTCATGTTATTCTAAAAATGTGAGGGATGTACGTGTAATTAAATGAAGTCCCAAATAGGTTATGAATGGTAAATTATTCTTGTACTTTAATTACTTACCAAATGTTCACAAAGGACTTAATAATTATTACAAGATTTATCTCGAGCTCAATGACGAAAGTACATATAGAATGCAATCAATACTTCGATTAGTTTTATTCTTCTCCAAAAATTTATAACGAATCTTAAATTTTAGAAATAATGTTAGAGTTTGTGTATAGCTCCTTAAATATATTGACTAGATAAATCATGATTGTTCAAAAAAGAATCAAAGGATCACCTTGTACATGTAAAATTGGAAAAAAAGGCGTGGTGGAGGTGGGGTAGAGTTGTTAGGCTAAACCTAGATCAAGATCAACCTTCACTCTCAAGCCCGACTCTAGATATATGTTTAAAGTAACACCATTTTTCTTCTAAAAGAGATTTCTTGAAAATAACAACTATGGTAAGGGGCTTCTTGTCCTGTGAGCTTGCTTAAGCATTGCCACTTCTTCAAAAACATACATGCATAATTTAAGAATATGAACATACATGCATAATTTAAGAATATGTTCCATATTAATGTTTTTATAGTAACATTCTTTTGTTACGTAGGAGGCGTCTGTTCCTCTTAAAACACCCGACTAATCTTATTCGACATATGTAATTCACCTACAACAATTTACTGCATAATTAACTGAATAAATCCTTACGAGTGACCCAGTAAGAGACTCATCCCCAAAATCTCTAGTTTTATGAAATGGACTTCTTGTTAACTTGCACACTTATACAAGTTTCATCAGACCATTGGCTTCATTTAGGTTCTCCTATACTGTTGGAAAAACTAGTAATTTTCTCTCTATGTACAAATCAATAGAGAATAACCAAAACCACAAACAAGCACAAAAAAATACAAACCAAACTAACAACAAGAGACACAAGGATTTTTAATGTGAAAATCCTTCAAGGCGAAGGGAAAAATCACGAGACCAAACTTGGTTCAATCTCTCCATTATCAACGAAAGTAGGATTACAAGTTTTATAGTTACAACTAGAGATGTCAAACATAAAAAGAAAATTATCTCCTTGGCTCCCAAACAAAAAAACTTCACCTTTAGGTGGATTTCGACCCAACAACAAGAAAGATCTCACCGAAGTGGCTGAACTTGTGTCATCGAAAACCAGCTGTAGAAGAGTCCAATTGACGACCCGAATCAGTAGAAACTAGCTATGAAAGAAATGAATATATCCCTAAAATTTCAACTCTATCTGAGTAGAAATGAGCCTTGAACAAGAGCAAGAAGTGAACAACTGCCTTCCACTTTTTCTCTCACAAAAGAAGCTGTCATTTCACAAGTTTTTCTACAGATTTTTTCACTCAAAAAGTGTAAAAACTGATCAGGCCCTTGGAAGACAAAAGGTCGTCTATTCTTGGCTTGTGCTAGACCCTTCTAAAGCATAGTTCCAATGCACACACACACATCTTTTAATTTGAGTTGGGTAAGAAGGGACACCCAACATATGCTTGGTATCCGCCTTTTGTTTTGCGTCCGAACATATCTAGTGTTCGATTGTCCAACGAAATAAGTCAAGTTTTAAGATGTAGTCCTTTGAATAAGTTGATCATTGTCTTTAAGAATAGCTTTCAATGGAGAATAATATTTTTGATGTGGTGGAATGGGTTTGTTTCATTTTAAGGTAATAATTTACACTATAAATCAGTGATGTATGGAACCATGACCTTAAAAAGGTTAGTTGTAGACCCCACTCTATTTATATATCCAAATCCGATCCAAACTACTAGAGCTTTCAACATTTGGGTTCATTTAGCATGGCAATGTATTGTGATATCATATATTTCTTTTTTCTGTTTTTGGTTCAATGGTCTATGGTGTTTGGATTAATTTACTTGCACCTCGACTAATCTCCTTTTCGATTCGGTCAAAAACAGATCATACACACCTATCATCTATTTCGTACCCATCTTTTGACAAAGATATAATATGGTTGTCCCAAGGAAGACACCAGGTGGCTTACCAGTGAACCGAGTTGAATTAGAGTTCAAGAAGTTAATCACATAAAACTCGTTTAGTTGACGCGTTATGCATGGATTATAATTTGTTAAAATAGGTCTAATTATTCTTGTACAGCATAATCTTGTCCTTTGTACATCTACACTATATTATACTATATTCCTTAATTCAATCCATTCATTTATAATACGACAACCAAACGAACATGAACATGTGTACTATTCAGACTGATGCATTTGGGTTGAATCTCGGATTGGGTTTAAATATAGGATTGCATGAATTGTTTCATATTAATTGCCAATTTTCAGTAAGCACAGAGTATGAAGGTTAACATCTTACCATATTGTAACATAGTCATATAACATCCCAACAGAAACTAGATATTTTTGACAAACCATGAAAATAAAAATGACAAACAGTATAACTTAAACACGAAAAATGTTCATTATCACATTTCTGATATTTCTTCCACATAAAAAGTAATAGGACAGCACTGTTGCAGGGGATAGACAGAAACCAATAAATCGTTTATTTTTGAATACCTAATAAACTCTCGTTAATCAGCCAAAATCAAGATAAGGTGAAGATGCTTAAAAAGAAAGTAAAAAGTTGAAGCTACCATCCTTCTACTGTTGCTATACGTGCTCAGAGTTGAAGCGATAAATGTTTTTCGTATATCACAACTTACTCAAATATGATTAAGAAATAAACATTGGCGAACTCAACAACATTGAAATAGACAGAAGAAGTTCAAAGAAATTCAACAATATGAGGTCAGTAGCAGGGAAATTTATTACCAAGGAACTCATAATGAGATGGGTTATTGCAAGGAAGAGTAGTAAGGTTACCAATTACAGTCTATTCAGAGAGGAACAACCAACAAGCCCTCGGGTACACTTGAGTTACAATCATTCTAACAGATTCATGTATCCACCTTTGCTGCAGCAGATGCATAACTTACACTGCTGTCTCTCATGTTTTTGCACTGACTTGACTGTTCATATCGAAGGAAATTAACTTTTATCTTCATCGGGCAAATCCTTAACATCTGGTTGAATTTAAGGATAAAAGAAAAAAGAAAAATATGTTAGCAGCCGTTGAAGGCATGAGCTGAGAATAGAAGGATGGAAGTTATAAGAAAAAATTAGCAAGAACTTCAAAAACTAAGGGCCAAAAAAAAGGCAGGAAAACTTTTGGGTTTTTATGTATCTGGCTGAACTCTTCAAGAATATTATCCCATCTCCAAGTTTTCAGCAATTTATTTCGACGGAATCTATGAGGTAAAGGAAATTTAGAGCAAAGAGATTCTGTGGCTTAAATTTTGACAGCCAAAAGTTTCCTTGCACAAGCCTTATGGAATTTCTCCAAGAGAGAAGAAAAATAATTAAGATATTTACATGGAGAAAAACACTAATTGGATGGCGCCCACAAATGGTGTTGTCAGTATCCAACAGGTATTGTTTAAATGCATCCGGATCTCCAGTTTCTATTATATCCATGCCCATCTTGTCCAAGGCCTCGATGGATTTGTGGATGGCCCCATGCTTTTTGTCATAATGCATGTAGTTGAACCTATCACCAAAATGAAATTCCAGATGTGTAAAGATTGGATTGGATAATGTCGATGAAAATCAGGTATATGCATACGTATAAAGGCAATCTAATGCCAAGGCTGTTACAAGGACAGGGTAGCAGAAGTCTAAATAGAACAGAAACGGTGTCACATTTCTGGTTGAACATTGAAAAGAGAGTGCCAACATGCATAAAACATACTTGTTTTGCATATGATGAATTAGAATTAGATTAAATTGGACAAAATATCATACCTAGAGCCCCAGTGACAAAAATCGGACGACACGGAAAAGAAATTATTTGGATCATCCACATACTTGGCTAGCAACTGTCCATATATTGCTTCATTCTCAGCATTAAGAGCGCCAACCAAAATTGGTACAACTTTAACTGGGTACCTAGCTCATTATATCTAAGAATCAGCCTCAAAAACATGTTGATGAGGAAGAGAGCTCTATTCACAACAAAACTTACCCTTCAAATACTTTAGCAAGATATGGCAGGTGCATTTCCATGCTATGTTCAGCCTCATCAACTGAGAGATCCATTAGCCCAAATTTTCCGGTGGCTTTTAGCTCCTCATTAACTGGTAAAGAAACAAATTTGGACTTGAATGAGATCTGCTATTAACCATGATGAAACATCATTGTTATAGAGTGCCCACTCACGTAGGTGTGCATGCTTATCTATGCTACAGCACTAAGAATATGTATGTATGTGTGTGTGTATTGAGAAAGAGAGTGCTCTCTGTACAAAATACATGCATGAATATAAACAGTGATTCCCTGCATAAAGTTGACGACACCAAGGTTACCAGTTTACCAGACAGTTTTCTGTCTCCATTATTTATGGCGGTGTCTCTGTTCATACCATAACAAGCAAACTGGAAGCTAATTATAGTTTGCCCAGAAATTATGCATACATACACAATATATATATTTAAGACATTTCCCAATTTTAATCTGCAAAAAGTGTCGTACTTTAGTACCACCATAAGCAGGTCTGGCCCAAGGCATAGGTCAATAAGGTGGCTGCCTATCGCCCCTAAATAGATAGAAAAATTAGGGCACCCAAAAAACTTTTTTAGGGCAATCGAGTTTAATCTGCTTTTGTTGGTCATACCTAAGCTTTAACTTATGTGCTATTTGCTAGCACAATAATTAGGATGTCTTGCAATCAAAATTAAATGGTTCACAGATTGTATATCACAATTGTTTGGCTAATAATAGTTTATCACCTGGTTGGATTTTTTGCTTAATTATCTTTTTACAACTTAGAAAATTACCATATACCAGAAATAGAGTGAGTAAAAATAGCTCACCAACCAAAACTAATTCTAACCATAATTGTCTTGCTAATTCTAACCATAACTCTACAATGTTCAACTATGCCTCATTATTCTAGGAAATACAACATACACCAATTCCTACTTAAATTCAGTCTAAAAACAAATTATTTTGCTATCAAAACAACGTTTCCAATCTATTTCTCAAAGTCTTCAACTGAGAGTGGGCTAAATTGCATTTGACTTCCCAGTTGTTGAATTTCTATTAATGAAGCTTTCATGCACAAACCTTGGATCCAAAAACTTAAGGGTTTTTGCATCCACAAAAACAAGAAAATAATTTTTAGATGAATATACTGTAAAATTTTTGTAATTACCTAGTACTATCTATATTATTTTTCTAAATACTATTAGGGCCTCATACATTTTTGCCTAAGGTCTCTACTTGTGCCGGGCTGCCACTAACCACAAGGTTTTCATTTCTCTATAGATTACCTAGCAAATAAAGGAAACCAAAAGAAAAGTAAAACCAAGTCATTCTTTCGAGTAGAACCCCTAATCCAACACCGCCCCCACCCCCCACCAAAAGCCTTGTGGAGGGGCAAAAAAAGGCAAAACCCATGAGAGAGAGAGTAGAAACAAGAACATAAACGCACTGAAAGACAGAAGTCATAATACCTTCCAAATCAATAGGTAGGTCCCCTATAGGAGTCTTGTAAACCGTGGCTCTTGAAAGAGCACATTTTGGAGTGTAATAGTGGTGAGATGGACCAAGAAGAAACACTCGAGAACTGAAATTTAGAAGTTTATGACAAATTAGAGATGAGCACCACACCAGTCATTCAACAATTTGCATATGATCAGCACAAAAACAATTCCAACATTTCCATCTTGCTTTATAAACCAAATGCTTGATGAGATGATGAGTTGTAATTTATTTGCTTGAAAAGGAATAAAAGGAAGAAATATGAAAAGGCCCAACTTACATTTTTGTTGGATCTATGTTCGCAAATGCATAGGCTGCTGCACGACCTGAATACGAATAACCTGCATGACTAGTGGGTTCAATGCCACCACCAGAATGACAAATATGTAAGAACCAACATTTTCCATTAAATAATTTGACTAGGCGAACTATAACTTACGGTGCAATTACACCTCGTACATCCTGAGATTTAGACAGACCACATGCTCTCAGCCATCCTTCTAGCTCTTCTGCTAATTTTTTTGCTGACAAAAGAATGGAATACATCATTACGAGACCCTTTCTTGAAATAAAATTAAGCTTAACCTATCTAAGTTGTTCCTTCATCTTCTTTTGGGATCAGTATCTCCAATAATATTTTATATATCTAAGTGATAAAATGTACTCTTTGAAAATCACAGCTACTTAGCGCCATAAATTATGCGCATTACTTATGCCATTTATAGCGGGCAAGAAAGATCCCACATAAGGTATGACCATGAAGTGAGAATTATAGTGCAAAAAGTTGCCCCATTTTTTCAACGCCACTTTTGTATTTTTTAATAGTCACTGATATATGGTAAGGAAGAAATGCATAGATTTCATTGATGAAAAAAGGATGAATAGGTGCTTTATACATTTCTCACAATATCGTTCTAGAAATGAAAGCATCACTATTAATAAGCTCTCCATAATTCCAATTTCATTGTAGATACTTTTGCTCTTTTGCACAAAAACTAACTCATTTATCTTAATATAAATTAAAGACAATGTTTCCACAATTCAAAACTAGGGCAACTATGTTGTTTACAATTCAAGGTGGTCGTATCAATCATTAGCATGAAGGGCACATCAATCCAGACATTGTCGAACAATATTGGAGAATACCCAAGAAATGATAGAAGAAGAAATTGGGTGTGACAAAAGATCCAATACCTATCGTCGCAGAATGGTATTGGGTGAGATATAATGCAACTCCTTGATGGTAACTTGGCTAAATTCACTGAAAAGATATCAAGTAAATCGAGTGTATATAGAGACCATGATTTACAAGAATGGAACGGTATCAAAACGGAAAATGCAAAGTCAAGCGGTCGAGTTGTATTAGACTCTGGCTGATTCTTTGAACCACATGTACTTCTTGAACTTCGTTGAACTTATATAGCTATTTCTTCATTCCACGTCTTTCAGGACTATCAACTTTAAGAATAAGCCAAAGATGATTTAGAGATTCGACTAACCTTTTTTGTAGTTGCACCCCCAATTTTTATATATATCAAACATGAGCATGGTTTAAGAATTTAATTTTGTTATATTCAGCTTTTGAGTCATACTAGGAAGACCAAGATTTATCAGTTGTGACTGCTAAATCTGATGGTTCCATCATGCTATATGTAAAATTGGACAACTGCAACACCTCATTAACATTAGTAAAGACCTAAATGCAACTGCTCTCGACTATAAAATATTCTCTTTGTCATTGACCATGCTCAAAGGCCATGTCTTGCTTCAAATATTGGCCTTCACATTGTATTCCATAGCTAGCCAGGGCCATATTTTTATAAGGATAATGTTAGCATCCAACTTAAAACCAATAAGTAATGGGTGAAGTGGCCCCTCAAGTATATAAACTAATTTTAGTAGTCCTAGTTATTCAATGTGGGATACAAGCTCTCTTAACACCCTCCCTAATGCAGGACCCGAACTTGCACTTGGAATAAACAAAAAAAGAAGAAACAATTATGCATACCAAAAAATTCAAATGGTTATAAGACGTGGTCTATTGATCACCCAAGCCCCAGCTTTGATACCATGATAGATTATCTAACCTAAAATAAATTGGTAATGGGTATAGTGGCGCTTCAAGTATATAAACCAATTTTGGCAATCCTAATTATTCGATGTGAGATACAAGCTCTCTTACCAGATAAGATATCACGTCTTCAATCAAAAGTTTGACCCACTTCTTCTTCTGCCCAAACTCCAATTTCTTAAATCTCACCCAATTTTTTTTAAATTTTCATCTATTCAAAAGGAGGATGTACTTCAGTAAAAGGAAATGAGTCGTTGCATTAGGTTTTGATTAGTTATATAGTTTGGCATTGTTTGATTGCCCATTCTACAATAAGAACCTTTATAACAACCAAATGAAATTGTTTCACTTATCAATACTGTTATTTTTGTGTAGACACTATGATTGGAACCATAGAAATCAAACAGTCAATAAACCAAACTACTCTCATCTAATTAAATTTAATCTTTCTTGTTGCTTTGGAATAAACGCCAAGATTCGAATCCCATAAAGTCAACAAACCAAACTACTCTAATCTTTCTTGTTGGTAACAATAAAAAATTGTACACAATATTACACATCCATTGATTACTTGGACACAACTATCACTCTTGCTTCACAATCAACATGGATATTATCTACAAGATGACTTTTCAGAACCAATTGGACTGGAATGAAATCGACGTACGGAACCAACTACAAGGCCTACCAAAACCTCTTCACCAAAGAGAGGTTTGTAAAGAGTGACATCCCAAAGTCTTAAGTCGTGGCATCTAAGCAATGAGCAAACCTAATGGATATTCAAAACCTTGACCCTTCTTCACAATTCCAGAGTTGGGTGGCCATAATTTGGATACGAATATCTTGATTGCCAACTTGGTGACTGTTAGAAAATTCACGCAAAATTCTCAAACCTGTGAGAGAAAACACACGCCGAAAAAAAAAACAATCACACGTACAAGACAATATTTACGTGGTTTGGCAATTTGCCTACGTCCACAAAAGTGCAGGAATTTCACTATTATCAAGAAGCAATACAGAGCGGCCATACAGAATCAATCAAACCCTAATCACCCAAAACAACAGGTTTTATATGTCCTGCACCGGACCACAAAGTGAGCCAAAAATTTTTCCCGGGGGCAGCCCAAGTCTCTGCTCCATGGACTAAGCCTCATAAAATTTCTCATTAAAAAACCACACAACATTATTTCGGGTTGGGTCAACATCCGGATCAACACAAAAGCTATACTCCACAAAAGGCCCAACAGTGACCTCCTCAACTAAAGTTTTGACTAATTCACATTAACATTGAGAATATTTTCAGCTCTAAGCAAGAAGAAGTAAATAAAGGGTGGTCAAAGATTAATGACTGTAAAGGATGTGAGTGCGCTCTGATCTATGACCTCCTAGGCACCAAGCAAGGGATTAACATCACTCACTTGCCCTTATCAACTCAACCGAAGTGTCTATTATAACAGAAGTGGAAAGGTAGGTCCTAAAAAAGTAATCCAGATCATGTTCACTCATTCCCAGTGGCAGTGACTGAGGGAAGTAATTGCTCAAAGGAAAGTCCCGACGAAAGAAGTGCGGGCACATCAATTAGAGCCCTTACTTAACTCTCCCTTAGACCAGAATGCTTTCATAAAATCAGCAATTAGTTATGCTTCACTGACCCACCAAAGAAAAACCCTACAATCACATGACTCCATAAGAGCATTTCTGCCCTTCCTTTCTAATATCGTTCAGAATTCAAATAATAACTCCAATTCCTATTCCTACTTTTACTAAAAATCATATCTTGCACTAGAAAGCATCATAACTTGTCTTCCAGTGATAACTATCAAAAAACTGCTTAACCCTTATAATACACTAAATATTTTCAAACGTATATATTACACTTAATTCAAAATAAAAAATTAAAAAATCAGCTACTCAAAATTAAATAGACTCAACGATGTACTGAATCATCGCAAAGGACAATACATAAAAAGCAAATATGATCAATCAGTAATTGTAAAGTTAGACTTGGAGAATAAAGTAATTGAAGAAATATGAAAGTTGGTTTGAAGCCCTCATTATAGCAAAATGAGGCTCAAATCACAGGAAATGCTACGGAATTCGTGAGTAGATGACTTACGATTGTCATTGTACCATGAACCCGCGTGCGATGCTCTCCTGATTTTCTCCATTTTCAGAAACCCTAATAATAAAAATTGGGTTGAGTACAAAATTGTGAAATATATAGAAAGTAGATGTGCAGATGAGGAGCTACGATTATGTGTGTATATATATATATATATATATATAGAGAGAGAGAGAGAGAGAGAGAGAGAGAGAGAGAGATTACGGTGCAAAGTGTGCAAGTAAAGCGATAGAACCCGTCGCTTTCTTCTCTCTTTTAGTTTTTACTTGTCTAGCTTAATCAAAGGAACTCCTTCAAGCGGCGAACTTCATTTTTCTTTTTAGTCATTTGCCCCAAAATTGAAACAAAGTAAATTCAGGTCTTTGATTTGCGTTTTAAAAAATAATATTTAAAAATAATTTTTGAGAATAATTTTAAAAAAGTGTTTTTCAAAATTTTTAGATTATAAAATCTATTTGGTTATATAATTTTTAAAATAATTTTAAAGAACAAAAATTATAAAATTTGTTTAAAAAATAATTTACAATTCCCACCTCTTTAATTCTTTCTCTCTTTCACTATGCATCAAGACAACCACCACTATCATCTTTTGAACTTTCACTATGCAGCATGACCATCACCACCACCGTCTCTCTCTCTCGTTCACTGTGCATCAAGACCACCACCAAAAATCACAAAGCACCAAAGCCAACAACCACCCAAAACCCATAACCATCACCCAAATTCCACAACCACCTCCGAAACCGAGAGGTACCCAAAAGCCCCACCACCACCGAAACCGAGAACCACCACCAACTCACAACCACCCAAAACCTACAACCACCACCCAAAACGTCAAAAAAATCAGATCATATAAAAAAAATCAGATCTGTGTTTGATAAAAAAAAAACATTAGATCTGTCTCAATATTCTAATTCTTTACGGTGGTTACAATATATATATATATATATATATTGTCATTGATATGTGTTTTAGATCAGATCAGATCAAAAAAAAAATCAAATCTGTGTTTAAGCCAATTGAACTAGATCTGAACCAATTGTCGGAGAGCTCGCATGGATCTAGTAGTCGGAGAGCTCTAGTGTGTGTGTGTGTGTGTGTGTGTTTTGCCGGAGAAGATGCAGTCACCGGAGAGGCGCAGTCACCGAAGAAGACTTCCATCTGAGAGAGTCTGTGGAGAGAGAGAGAGAGAAAGACGAAGAGACTAGAGAGTGATGAGATCTGGGAGGAGAAATGCAAAAGAAAAAAAAAACTTTTATACTATGCCTTGTTTTTGCTTCTAAGAGAACTCGAAAAGGGGACCTCATTAAAGAGTAAAATTATCTCTGTATTTTCAAAGTTTTGGCAGAAAAGCTT